ATAGACTCGACAGTCAAAGCGGGGAGGAATTTAAAAGCCTTTGCAACGAACTTCTTGAAAGTGTATCAGAAAAGCATTACGACACTGTTAAGAAACGTCTCGATTCGTTTATCGCGGCAAAGGAGGAGCGATCGTTCTTGCAAAGTTGGTTATCATGGTGGCATGACAGAAGAGGTTTCATTTTCCGTGCCTTTGCGCCGAAAAATGGACCAAGAATGAACCAAGCAGAGGTCATCCATGCCGGTTGGGGACATCGGGATAACCCAAACATGTCGCTTCTTGAGGTCTGCCAAGCAGACGTTAGAGACTCCTTATTGTTAGACGCGGAATTAAGAGGTTATGCTGCGGGAACAGCTACAGGTGGGGATGGGCCATCTTTCTTACAAAGTAAGAAACGAGAATATGCGCGTGAGCTGAACAAAGCTAGAAAGATGGGGGAGGAATTGTTACAAAGCGATGCCGAAGGTCTGACAATCGATCCGGCAGCGTCTTTTCGCCCGACAGAAAGGAAAAAACGCACACAGGAGGCCACCCGAAAAGATAAGGTTAACAGACCAAAACAAACTGCCGCCACTGGGACGTTTGCTGTGACAGACAAGCGAGACCGTCCATCTCACACCACTGCATCTAGTAGCTCTCATGTGCCTGCACCTGACCTTCTGTCTTCAAATTATAGCTTAGTACCAGCCTCTCAGCCTTTTCCGTTGTTTCCTTTGCCGAGCTGTACTGGTGCTCCCTCGCTGTACCAGCCCCCGTCGCAGCACCAACCTCTGTCGCAGCAATCTCCGTCGCAGCACCAACCTCCCTCGCTGCACCAGTCCCCGTCGCTGTACCAACCTCCGTCGCTGTACCAATCTCCGTCGCTGTACCAACCTCCGTCGCTGTATCAACCTCCGTCGCAGCACCAACCTCCGTCACTGTACCAGCCTCGGTCGCTGTACCAACCTTCGTCGTCGGGAATGGCACGTACTCCCTATCATGCAACACCCCACGAGCAGTGGCATTCCGGCTTGTCGCCGTATCATTATGAGATTTGTTTATTGCCTACCAAAGTACAAAAGTGCTATGGATGCGGTAGTGACTTTGTGGACAAGTATAGAAAGCCACCATTTAACCTTGTCGTTAAACACGTGGATAGAAGGGTAATTCGAAGAAACGAAGTTACGGGACAACTCGTATTTAGCCATGATTATTCTAACACTTATTATCACCCGTCGTGTGCACATCTAAGACGCAAAAATCCGGTATTTACCGGCCTTGTCTTCATTTCCAACGAGCTTTTTGCTGCATTGGAACCTGGCCAGCGTGCTGTCCTTGAAGCATGTGATCTAAATGTTGTTTCGAAGTAAACATAGATAATGATGGTGAACTAAATCATATCACATTTTTTCGACTATTTTGTTCTTGTTTGCACCTGAGACGTGGAATTTTTCGTGTAAGCAGCTAGTTCAATAAAAGAAACTAGATGCCGAGATTTCTTGATGTGGGTTTTGTCTGTGATCGTGTCCGTGATCGTATTCGAAGTCTTATTGAAAAAATTATCCCGCAAAATGGAAATGCTTTGGTTGCGCTTTTCTTTGAAATTACACTGACACGTGACACGTAATGCAAGCAGGACCTTCTTGTTTTGTTATCTTGGAGCTCGAGGCTCCCATACAGTCGGAATTAATCAACCGCTTAACTATGCTGTAGAATACTTTTCTTTAATATCCTTTTGTTTTGTTGGGAGGGAGGGGGGGGGGGCGGAGGGGGACGGGAGAGACACAGTTTACTAATTATCCGAAGATTGTACGAATGTTTCCGAACACTCTCCGAATTCTGAGAAAATTTCCGAAAACGTTCGAAAATATCCGAAGATTGCCGAGGAAGATCCGTGGGATACCATTTGCTACCACTCGCTATTTGAGCTATTTGTTTAACACGAGGAGAAAAATTCATGCATCATGTATAATATTGTTTGCATAGGTAATCATACCGTATAGAGTTATTTGCACGAGTGAGTTTTTCAAAAAGCTGAAAATTGCGCGAGCCGCTTTGAAAAAAAAACTCCCAAGTGCAAATTAATTTCTAATTGAACTCGAAACATGAAAAAAATTTCCGCGATACAACGGTAAAAAGTAACTTGGTCAGCGGTCAGCTTCAAAAGAAAACACGAACTCGATTTTCCGATGAATTCTGACCGCCTATAGAAGTTTTTCAGAGTGTTGTCCGAAGGGCATACGAAACTTTCTGAACATTTTCTAAAATGTTCCGGAGATTCCCGAAGATTTCCGAATTAATTATTATTTTTAATTATTATTTTATTTTATTTCTTTTATTTTTTATTTATCTTATTTCATGTTTTAATACCCTCGACATGGTACCCTCGACC